CAAATTTTTTTTTTGGAAATTTTTTTTTTTTAATAGCCCCAAGTGTCCCCTTTGAAGTTTACCATAAGCGATTTTTTTAATTGCAATAGTTTTCGAGATTTTTGAAACATAAATTTAAAAAATATGGAAAATAGTGAAATTTTGGATTTTGCATAACTTTTGAAAAAAATTTTTTTAATTTTTTTCCTTTGGCAGAACTTCGTTATAGGATAAAAGAAAACTTCTGACCAAAATTTATCCAAATCGAAAGGGGTCGAGTCCAACTATTGGTCGATTTGACGTGGAATGACCCAATTAGTAAAAATTTACTAATTAAAAATGTGAACATTTCATCAATTTAAAAAGTTGATAACTACACAGAACAAATAAATTATAAAGTATATTCAATATTTATTTATTTTTTATTGTTTTAAGTAGTAGTTGGGATTTCGGGGTGACATTTTATTTTTTTGACATTTACGTCGCTATTATTAGGGTTAAAATGGTACTTATTGCAATATAATTTTTGAATTGTAGCATTCGAATAATAGATTTCAAAAGTTAATTATTAAAATCATAATTTTACTTTTTGAAATAGAATTTATTATTCATTGATTATTATATATTTTTATAGTTCATAATTCTCCTGACTAACTACTAATAGTACACATTTGACATTTCGGAACAGTAACTATAATTAGTTTTTTACTAATTTAGTTTTAAAGAGACAATTTCTTAAAATAACTTAAAAATAAGATCGATAAGAGCTATTGATTGTTTTGTTTGAAAATATATGTTATTTTATTGAATATAATGATAATAAATTTTGTCAATACTAATAAAAAATTCTAAATTTGATGACCAAGATGTGGTTGCGACGAATGTGTAACGTCGAATGATCAAGATTCGTTACGTCATTCACGCTCACGCATAAATGCTTACCGCGCTCTAACATCATCTTCTCTGATCGCCCTATCATCACGAGATCCTATTCTAACTGCCTTCGAATTATCCTGGGAATTGAGACGGCTAAGTCGTATGGAACAGGAGTTCAGAACCGATTACAATGTAATTATCAATAATATAAATTTAACAATGAATACTTATTAAAATAAATATCAACAAAATTATCATTTATTATTTATTATTTCTTCAGGAACTGAAAGAACTATGTCAAGTATTTGCGACATCGCTGCTGGATCACGTACGCACTTCACACGAACTTGAAATAATTCTCAATTACAATCCAACCGGTGATAATTGGGAGCCTGGCGAAAGGCAAACATTAGAAAGACTTAAACTTGCTATCAAGTATAAGCAAAAACAGGTCATTCTACCCTCATTATTTATATTTACCATTATCTTTTAGTTCTCTGCAATATATCTGCCAGCTATTTTTTTGGAAATTTTCCTCCTTAGATGTCGCCAAAATTTGTAGAAATTACTTTACTTCTATCCTTCTATTCGGGGAAATATTATACGCATTTAGAAGGCAAAAATTTTTACGTGTTAACAAAAATTTTTTTTTTTTAATTTAATTTTTTTTATATTTTGAAAAAAAATTTTTTTTTTATCAGTATGAATAAATTAAAAATTTTCATAAAATTTTGTTCGTATAAAAAAATTCAATTTTTGAAAAAAAGTTTTTTTTTTCTCAATATAAACAATAAAAATTTTGATTAATTCTACTTCGTCTTTAATTAATTTTAATTTAATCTATTTCTTACTTATTAATTTGTTCATGTAATTAAATATAACTTAGCAGCTTGCGCAGATAATAGGGGAGGGGGGGCAAAATGGGGTACTTAAGCAATCGTTATGATTTTAAGGACTTAAATACGCTGATTTTTCTCGTTTTCAGAAATTTTTTTCAATGTTTAATAAAGCTTTATTTTTTTTCCTCTTAGTAAATTGTTAATAACAAAACGAAAATTAACAATTATTCCAACGGAAATCTATTTTAAGAAATTTCAAATATAGCTCCACGAAAGGAAAATATTCTCAGATTAATAGTTTAATAAAATATCGCACTTGCAATGTTAATGTTCGTGCTACAAATCATTGTTAATTAATTAATGAATAACTTATTGAAAAATCGCAATAAAAATTTTTTGACCACGGATTATTGTTCATTGACCTATACTCTATACTACAGGCACCTGAATTTTTTTAATTTTTAATTTTCATATTTAAGGAGGTCCTTTCGCCGCCAATGTAAAATAAAAAATCTTAGATTATGAGTAAATTCAATTTTTTTCTAATAGTTAAGGTCTTTATTTATCTAATAGTGAGGTTTAGATTATACTTTACCGGACAAATTTTTGAGAAAATAAAATTTTTAAATGTTAGTATTTGTTCAGAGTCTTATGAGAAAGTCAGACGTTTGCAGTATTTCTTGAATTATACTATCAGTCATGGATTAGATGGAGTAAAAAAAAACTAAAAATTAGATTTTTCGAAATATTCAGGTTTCTTTTTTTGTAATAAAATATATCAGTTACCGAGATATTTATTGAGAAATTAATTTTTAAAAATCACAAAAAATTCTCAAGTAACCTACATTAATATATGGAGTCAAAATATTTGGCAACGTTGCGTAGCGCGCGAGCTTGAGACCATTCAATAAATTCAAACTAATTTATTTATTTACACTGACTGCAAAAACTTAAACGTGTTTAAGGTTATATTGTGCAAATGAAAATGTCACGGAGCTTAGATAGATCTATCTAAGCTCCGTGGAAAATGTAAACAACCGAAGTACAGCGTTGCCAAATCACGGACAGGTTACTAGCAGTTGATTTGAAAGAGTCAAATTAATTTTTGTATTTAACTATTTTTTTTTTTTATTTTTAAAATTTCAACGATTAATGCCTCATATACTATTTATTATTTAATTTTAGGAATTTTTATGGATTTTTTATTTTAATTTATCGTATATTGACTACTACAATTGTTTTGACTCAACTGGAGCGAAAGGATTTCCTTAAGAGCTACTTCTTAGGACCTTAAAAATGTGGAGATCAGATTAGAACTTGATTTTCGAAAACTGGCTTTGAACCAATCAATGACTTCCCGATTTTTTTTTAAAATCATTTATTTGTAAAGTGAGAACTTAAAAATTTAGAAAAAAAAATTTTAGATGTGAAAAAAAAATTATTATGATGCACAATGACGATAAAAATTACTGCACAGTAAAAAATTTTTCGTCAATTTGTAAAGTGTAAAAATTTTTGTGTAGCAAATTACACTCTAGTGTGTAGAATTTTACATTCTCATGTGTTGATTTAACATACGAGAATGTAGAATTAACATTAGTTTGTGTAAAAACAGTCAGTAACACAAATATTTGAGTTAAATTTGACGAAAATTTTTTTACTGCATGTAAAAAAAATTTTTTTCTCTCTGAAATTGTAGGAAATGACGTTAAAATATATTTTAGACAGCTAAAAAAGCTTTTTGGAAAAAAAAATTTTTTTTACGAAATTTTGGGGGTACCCCATTTTACCCCCCCCCTCCCCTATAGCCAGTTGTAATAAATAAAACCAAATGGCGTCAAAAATGAACTACAATGTGTTAAATGTACCGGATTAAAATTATACTGTCATTTTACGGCGTGCAGCGTTCTCGGAGTTCATTTTTATACCAAAATTTTGTAAAATGTATAGTTAAAAAGAAAACTGTGTAATATTTAGAGACTGATCTTATCAGCTGTTGTTCGATAAATCTAACTCGCGACTTTGAAAAAACAGTTTAGAGAAAAAGATATTTAAACTTTTTAGACCACAGCGACATTTTGTGTGACACACGCTCCGAGATAGCTTTACAAATATCCTCATATATACACTATAAAATATATACATCGTGAAAAAATTGATTTATTTTTTCAATTCTAAGTGCGTATAATCCCTTAAAAGGATAAAATATTTCTTATAATTTCATTTAGTCAACCGTTAACATAAGCTTTAACAGTTTTCAATAGTTCGTAGCACACCCCAATGTCCAACAATTGCTGGCTGCAATTTGGTACGACGGACTACCGGGTTTCCGGCGGCTGAGCATGGTCGGGCAATTAATAGAAGTCGGTAAGCTTGGAGCTATGTTTCCGGTGTACAGTACCATTTATATGGTATCACCTACATCGAAAATGGGATTATTCATGAAGAAACCATTCGTTAAGTTCATCTGTCACTCGTCTTCTTACGCGTTTTTTCTCAGTAAGTTTCAGTCTTTTTCTGATAATCTTCTGATAATTTATTCAAAACGAATTATTTGGATCGAGAGAATTCAATGAATAATAATGCAAATTTTATTTCATTATCATAATTATAATCATTTAATTACTACAGTGTTACTCGGAATGGCGTCACAGCGCGTTGAATATCTTGCAATTGAGTTATTTGGAACCGCCTGGATGAGAGAAATTCTCGCTGGATGGAAGAAACATGAGCGTGGGTCTATTCCTGGCTTTGTTGAAAGCGGAGTGATTATTTACATTATTAGTGAGTATTGTTAATAATATTTTATTAAAAATCAATAATTTAATAATATTAACAAACGATAACTATTTATAAAAAGAGTTTCAAATGATTTTTACAGAAAATTTACATAGTTGTTATTAAAACGGCGCGTAGAGTCAAAGAAAATTCGAGGATCCGGGTTCAATTTCTCGTTAGGGTTTTCCAATTTGTTTTCTTCTGATATAGTTATTATTTGTAATTTAAAATAAATTATGGATGATGTAATTAAACTTCCCACGATTGATTTTCCACCCGAGTTGTATTGGATCAGGAGAAAATTTAATTCAAGTGTATTTATCAATAACAGTAACAAGTTGTAAGTTTTAATTTACTAGTTTTGTAATTTATTTTCTTTCAGACAGGCGTTGATTAATTTTGTTTGATTAACATGTTAATGTAATAGAATAAAAGAATAATTGATCCGTTTTAAAAATTATTAGAAGTACTTATAAGTTATGAGTAAAGAAAAGAAGAAATAAAAGCTCTAAATGTAAATCGTTACAATTCGTGCATGAGTCAATCTCATAAATTCTCACCTAAAATTTAACATCCCAGAGTAGAAAATTTATTGGTGTTAATAAAAGTTCATATGTTTACTGGATAGTAGATTATGGTTTATCTTGGGAAGACATGAGATGCATTGAAAAAATTTTACAGTCTGTTTACTATGAAGAATATTTTATTATAAAATATTTCATATAAAGTTTACTATCGATTGTATGTTATAGTTATTATTTTTTTTTTTTTTAATTAGGAAAGTGATAATACATTTATGTATACAATTATTTTTAATTATTAAATTCTTATTTTAAATTTTTATTTTATAAGAAAATGAACATAATTTATTGTCTAGTGAATCACCCTATGCAAAATGACAGCAAATTATTACAAAAATGCAGAGGAGTTTGCTCTACATTTTTTCAAAGATATAATCAATAGAAAAATTTATATTTATGTCAAAGAAAAATTATCATCTCAATTATTAAAAAAAAATTATCAATAAATAATTTATAAAAAAAAGCAAAACTTTAATAATTGAAAATTAAGAATGGAAAAAAAATTTTCTTGATTTTTGATTTCCTAATAAAACAGTAAATTATTTCAAAGTTTTCACAAGAATCTTTTTTTATTTTTTTTTTATTTTTTCGTTCTTATATTTGTCATCGATAATTTGGATCTGAAAATAAATTTTTTTTTTATTTTGGGTCTTTTCTAATCTATTGAAAATATTTCCTATGATAAAAATTGATATCAAAAATATCTTGAAATTTAATAAATATTAAAATATTATACAAAATATGTATAAAAAGTTTACATAGTTTTATATATTCTCCATTAATTTTTAATACGTTTTTCATATTCCAACATATATACTAGATATAAATTGTTTTTATTAGGGGATACTGGACTATTCCAATCTAAAGCAATAATTTTTAACAAACTTATTCGTAAAATTTATTTCCACCTCAGGGTGAAAAAATTTAATGTCTTTTTAGTAAATTATAATGATTTGTGTCTCCAATGACCACCCCAAATTTTAAACTCCAATTACTAATTTCCAAAACTCGCATAGTATTTTTCTAGTTCAACCAAAATTCCCAATAGATATCATCTCAAAAGTATCAAATAATAATTAAGTTACTTCTAGAAACTAATAAACGAAATCTTTTCAATAATAGGTCTAGTGACGGCTGAAATTCGATCTCTATGGGCGGATGGTTTATTGGAATACGTATCTGATCTGTGGAACATCGTAGACTTTATCCAAAACACGTTTTACGTGGTCTGGATCATGATGAGAGCGACGGCCTGGTTCGTTGTGCAGGTGAGTATTGTCAGCTAATAATACAACAACAACAACAACAACAACAACAACAACAACAACAACAACAACAATAATTTTATTTATTTATTTTTTATTTTAAGTTTGCCTTCTCAGGAAGTTTCCTTCCTCTTGGCAGGAGTTCATATACATTTTTCTTTACATTTTTTTATATATACATATTCAAATATAGACACTCACTAAATTGAGTCAAATAATACATCTCAAGAAATTTTTAATTAATAGGATTATTATTTATTTTAAGCAGACTAATATATCATTAAAGAATTAGTTAATGTTTAAGTTTTTAAGACATCTAGTATATGCAGTGGATTCTTTCGTGGTGTGTCAGGTAATACGCCGGTATGGAAATCGTAGGTATCACAATCAGCGCAGTCTCCAATTTCAGGGGTCCTGGTAGTCATTGCAGAGATACAGGACTGCCAGGACATTGCTCATATAGTAGTACAGGTTCTTCAGGTCACCTTTCGTGTGTAGATCGAGGCATTCAGAGACAGTTTTTTCCTTTGCGTTTTCATCAGCAGTAGCAGTAAAGAGAAACTTGTTTCTGAAGGGTGTGTACGTTGGACATTCAACCAGAACGTGCTGAACGTTTTCGTAATTGCGATTATTGCAGCTCATGCATTGAATGTTTGGATCAAACGTGTAGACATTGGATTCGTGTTTTAAACGAAGCTTGAAGTTATTTGCCAGTCTTAAGTTAATACTCATTCTTAGCTGAATTCTTTGTTGAAAAATTTTATACTTGACAGGTGACAAGCCCAGTTCTAGCCTCAGTGCATATCCCGGTGTGCAGCGTGGTAGCAGAAACAGTCTCTTGAAAAAATTTTCTTGGGCTTTTTCAAGCATTTGGTGATGACGAAGACCCCAGAGATGAGCAGAATACAGAAGCGTGGTAGCAATAGTTGTATCAAAGAGTTTGCATACGGTGTTCCAGGAGTCCGCTTTGCCTTTAGCGAGAATGTTCAGTGTTTGTGAACTAGCGATCGCTGCTCTAGAAATCGCAGATTCAGCTGCCTTCCTTCCAGACAGTGATCCCGAGAAAACTACGCCTAAATAAGTACAGGAACTGACTACCTCTATATGCTCTCCATTCAGCGTAAATTTAGTTGTCTTCAACTTTCTGCAATTGCCATTTTTATTGAAGTGGATTATCTTGGTTTTTTGTGTGTTAATAGTGAGGCAGTTATTTTCGCAGTAGGTTTTCAATAAGAGCAGTTTTTTTTTGAATGTCCGAAACATTTTTTGCTAGTATTACCAAATCATCCGCGTACAACAGCATGAGGATATCGGTTCGGCCATCTATATTTAATCCTTCACATCCATTTTTCCTGAAAAAAGTTTCTATGTCCGCTAGAAATAATATGAAGAGTAGTGGACTGAGTGACTCACCCTGCAGTACACCTTCACTGATTGCAATTTGATCCGGGCTTACTCCAATTAAAAACAGTTTCCTCCAGAGCAAAGAGTGGTTAATCGAGTCAAAGGCTCTACGAAAGTCGATCACGATTGCTTCTGCATATCCACCATCCTGCCGTACACGGAGTTGAAGTGTTGCCATTAAGGCAAAAATATTGTCTTGTCAGCTTTGGTTTGCACAAAAACCAGCTTGAGACTCCGGAATAATCGCAGCTTGTTCTGCCCATGAGTAAAGTCTCTCTCTTAATATCGTGGTGAACAGTTTGGAGATGTTATTAGTTAAAGCTATACTACGATAGTTTTCTGGTGCTGTTGGATCACCTTTTTTGTGCAGTAGGGTGAAGAAAGTCGAAGACCAGTCTCTGGGGGTTATTTCTTGGTCCAATACTTTGTTGAAGAATACTATGATATATAATTTCCAGTTGCTGGGAAGATGTTTTAGGTGTTCGCTGAGTATGGTGTCCTCACCCGGCGCTTTTCCATTCTTGAGCTTTGTGAGGCAGTGGTCCAGTTCCTTATAGTTAATTTCACGATCTAGGTATGGGTGAGTTACCCCGTAGAAAAGAGTACTATCACTAATTCTTGGTGGATATATCTTTGTCAGATATTCAGTCCACGTTTTAAGAGAGATAACTGGGCTGCTGTAATTTTTTTGGCGTAGACTCTTCACTACTTTCCAGAAATCAGGCCCGTTTCTTGTGTTAGACAATGATTTTTTTATCTTCGTTATGTATGCTTTACGCTGTTTTTTTGTTACCTTCTGGAAATTTGCACGTAGGGCTTGTACTGTAGTATCATATGGCTTACACTGTTTCACTATTTTCTTGCGAACACGTAGAGCACGGTTGAGCAGATTTTTTGCCTTGCGGCATTCATCGTCAAACCAAGGTTCAGTGTTTGTTGCGATTGATCTATGGTTTACTGTTCGCAGGCAGTCTAGACTCTCTGCGACCTCCAGAACAGCTTTGGACAAGTTTTCATTTATCTCATCTACATTTGCCAGATTAAAATCAATTTTGAGTCTAGCCGATCTTGTCATTACCCTTTTGTATTCAACAGCCTTGTTCTCACTCCAAATGATTTTATTAGTTTTATTTACTATCCTGGTGCCTTCTCTAAGGATCTGGGTATTGAGATTGAAAGCGCTGGTAATTTTTACCGGGTAGTGGTCCGATTTTGAGGTTATGTACACAACCTGCAAATCAGTAATTTTATGTATACTGTCTACTTTAACCCAGAATAAATCAATTACGCTATTTTGGCGTAACAATAATAATAATAATAATAATAATAATAATAATAATAATAAGCAATGCACCGGATTCGGGGCGTGTATGCTCTTTGGGTTGTTTCAAACTCTATCACACACTGAATGCGGGAGACCTGTTTCCGGGATCTGTCAATTTTGAGTCCAAGTTGTGAGATGCGCTGTCTCAACCTTGCCTTGATCAAGAGACGATGTCTCTCTCTCGGAAAAGCCGAAACTGCTGCACCATACACAACCTGGTTCACAGTGAGCAGGGCGGAATCTTCCAGGATGTTTGCACGGACATCTTCATTTACCGCGTCAAGCTGCTGTTGAGAGTAAGTTATCTTTTTAGATATACTTACTTGCCGTCCTATAAAGGGACATTATTATTATTATTATTATTATTATTATTATTATTATTATTATTATTATTATTA